GGTTCCTGGGGGGGGGATTTTGGGGGGGTCTCACCTCTTCCTGACGTGCAGGGACACGTATTTGGCGTTGAAGTTCTCGATCATGGCTCGGGACGCCTGGTCCATGAGTTTCTGTGCCAGCCCCAGGCGCCGGTGCGAGCGTTTCACTGCCTGGGGGGGGCCCCAAAAAACGGGCTGGGACACCCCAAAAATAGCCCGGGAGACCCCAGAAACAGTCGGGGGCCTCCCAGGGCACCCCTGAACCCAGCCAAGGGCTGGTGGGAATGTTTCAGGATCGCAGGGAGAACAAAATTGGTTTGGGATCCCAAAACCCCTGTGGGATGGCAGCAAGCAGCTGGGGCACCCCAGAACTCCCCAAGGGACCCCAAAATGTGATGGGGCTCTGCCAAAAATACCAGGGCACCCCCAAACCAACCCAGGTGGGAGTTGTTTCACTGCCTGGGGGTCCCCAGACAGACTGGGGCACCTCAAATCCACCCAAAACGCCTCAAAAAAAACCCCTACGGCACCCCAAAAACTACCCCACACACCTGGGGCACCCCCAGATCACCCCAAAAAGCCCCCAAAGCCTCAGAACACATCAATGAGCCCCTCAAAGCCCTTAAAGAGCCACCAAAGACCCTCTAAGAGCACCCCAAAACCTTTGAAGCAACCTTGAAGTGCGTCCCAAGTGCTCAGACCCCATCCAAGAGCCCCCCCAAAGACCCTCAAGGAACCCCCCGAGTGCTCAGGCTCCCTCCAGGAGCCCCCCTAAGGCCCTAAAGAAACCCTCCCAAACCCTCATGTGACCCTAAAGACCCTCAAGGAGCCCCCCCAAAACCCTCTGCCCCATTCCCAAACTCTCAAACCGCCCCCTCCCCGCCTTACCAGGGATGTGATGTGTCCGTGTGGGACATCATCGGGATCTTCCTCCCTGCACGAGCAAGGGGAGGGGGTGAGACCCCCCCCAAATCCCACCGGCCACGCCCCCCACGACCCTCTCCCCCCAAACCTCAGGAGAAGGGGGGAGGGAAGGGCCCCCCCAGCCCACACTCACATCTTGGCCAGGACGTATCCCACGATCTTCCCGTTCTCATCCTCGGCGATGTAAGAGAGCTGAGAGGGGGGAAAAAAGGGGGTGAGGAGGGGGGCCAGGTGTGCCTGGGAGGGGAATCCAGGTGTCCCTTGGGGAGGGGAAAGGATCCAGGGGGTCCTGGCTGCACAGCAGGGACTCGATCTGGCCGTTCCTGAGGGGGATTCAGGTGTCCCGGGGAGGGATTTTGGGGGCCCCCGCGGAAAGATTCGAGTGTTTGAGGTAGGGGGAATTCCGGGGGGGGGGTCACAGTGGCTCTGGGGAGGGGGATTCCAGTGTTCCAGAGGGGGTCTAGGACCACACTGAGGGGATGATCCAGGTGTTCTGGAAGGAATCCAGAAGTCCTGAGTGAAAATTCAGGGCCCCTGAGTGTCCCAAGGAGGGATCCAGGTGTTTCAGGGACACCTGGGGGGGAAATCCAGGTGCCCTGGGGACAAGGGGGGGGGGTTAGATCCAGGTATCCGGAAGGGGAGGAGGGAGCCAGGTATTCCAGGGGCGGATCCAGGACCACACCTGGGGCCAGGAGAGGCCGTGGTAGAAGTAATATTTCATCTGGTAGTTCTCGGGCAGGCAGAGCAGGTTGCAGTGCTGCATGTTCATCAGGTCCTCGGGCTGCCGGGCGGAGGCGGAACCAGGGCACGGGGGAGTCACCCCAGAACCGCCCCCGGTGCTCCCCAACACCGGGGAGGGCCCTCAGAGCCCCCTCCAGGGCACAGGGCCCACCTCAGAGCCCCCAAAAAGTACCGAGACCCGGTACTGCCCCTTAGAGCCCCCTCAAGGGCCCGGTGTCCCCCTCAGACCCCGGTACCCCTTCCCAAAGCGCGGGATCCCTCTCAGACACCCCCGTATGACACCGGTTCCCCCTGTTTGAGGCGTGGAGCCCAGTCCCTACCTCAGACGTTCCATAAAACCCCAGTTCTCCCTGCTCAGGGCCCGGTGTTCCCCTCACACCTCCCCCCAGGGCCCGGTATCACCGTCAGAACCCTCCCCGGCTCCCTCTCGCCGAGCCCCGGCTGCGCCCCTCTGACCCCCGGGCCGCCCACCCGCGCGTTTCGGATGTTCATGGCTGTTGGTCTCCCGGTCCCGGTCGTGTTTCCTGATCCTTTTCCCGCTCCCGGTCCCAGCTCCGTTCTCGGTCCCGGTCCCGGTCCCCTCACGAGCCGCTTCCGGCGGAAGTTCCTCCCTGGCCAATCAGCGTTGAGCCCGCCCACTCGCCCGTCCCGCCGAACTGACAGGCGCCTCAGCCAATCAGCGAGCGGAGGGAGGTGCCAAGCCCCGCCTCCCTTACCTTTGCCCTCAGCCAATCAGAGGCGAGTTCCCCGCGGGCCTCGGGCGGGGGCGGGCTTTGCCCTCTCCCACCCCCCTCGCCGTCCAATCACATCTGGCGGGGCTGTTGATTGACAGCAGCAGGAGCCAATGGTGAGAGAAGGGAGGCGGGGCAGCGCAGGGCTCGGAGGCCGCGTGGGCGAACACGCTTTATTGCGATGGGGGACGGGCTCGGGAGAGGGACGGAGGGGCCCGGGGGGACTCGGGATGGTCCCCCCACACCTGAGCAGGGTCCCCATGGCGGGGGTTTCCCAACTTCCTGAGGGGCCTCATGGCCACATTCCTGGGGTTTGTGCCCAGATCCCAGGGTGTCCCCACTCATGTGTTGTCGTCCCCACTCGGGGTGAGGGTTGTGTCCGCTCAGGACAGACTGTCCCCACTCATACGGTGCCCCCACAGTCCTTGTCCCCGCAGCGTTCCCATCCTGGAGTGTCCCCGGAAAGCGTCCAGCCACAGCGTCCATCCCTGCTCTCTGTCCCCAGCGTGTGACCGCTCCCCACCCCAAAATTTGGGGATGGGCGTGGGGGGGGATCCCCCAGACTCAGGGCTGCATGCGCAGGGCCCCGTCCAGCCTCACCACCTCCCCGTTGATCATGGGGTTCTCGGCCAGGGCCTGCACGAGGTGGGCGTACTCAGCAGGGTCCCCCAGCCGCGACGGGAAAGGCACTTGCTGTCCCAAAAACTTCCGGACCTTTTCGGGCAAACCAGCCAGGAGCGGGGTGGAGAACAGCCCTGGGGAATAATCCCAAAACCAGGGTGTGAAATCAGGCCACTCCCCCTCCTCACCTTCCCACCCAGGTGCGCCCCCCTGGCCCTACCTGGGGCGATGGTGACCACACGGATGCCCAGCGGTGCCAGGTCCCGGGCGATGGGCAGGGTCATGCCCACGATGCCACCCTTGGAGGCCGAGTAAGCTGCTTGACCCACCTGTGGGGAGGACGTGTGGCCACTGCAGGGTCCCCTGACCCACCTGGTGGCTCCCAGGGTCCTTGAGGGTCACTCACCTGCCCCTCAAAGGCGGCCACGCTGGCGGTGTTGACCACGAGCCCACGGTGGCCGTCGGTGTCGGGCTTGTTCTGGCTCATGAGCTGGGCACTGAGGCGGATCACGTTGAAAGTCCCCACCAGGTTCACCTGGGAGAGGGAGAAGGATTTGGGTGGTATCTCGTGGGCACCACCAAACCCTGCTGGTACCCCCCTGTGCTGTGCTGCGAACACCCCAAAAAGTCCCCAGATCTACAGCTGGGTCACCCCACTGAGCACAGACACCCCCACCCCATTGTCCAGGCACCCCCCCAAGCCCCCCACTCACATTGATGACCCTCTGGAAATCCTCCAGCTCGTGCACTTTGTCCTTCTTGCTGTTGTAAGTCTTGACGGCGATGCCGATGCCGGCGCAGTTCACGGCCAGGTCCAGGCGGCCAAATTGTTTCTGGGCCACGGCCAGAGCTGCCCTCACCTCCTCGGGAGACGTCACCTGGGGGCGAGGGGCCACCGAGGGGGGGGGTGTGTCACCACTGGGGGCACGGCTGGGATGGCAGCATTGGGGTCAGTGTGGGATGTCATCAGTGGGGTCATGGTGGGTGTGATATGGGTGGTCCCATATCGAGGGAGGGGTCACCAGGGTGGTCAAGGTAGCCCCCGTCACCTCAGCTGGGGGTCACCTGGGGACAAAGAGGCCTGTGTTGAAGGGGGGGGGGGTGTCATCGGAGGGGTCAAGGTGGGATGTCAGCAGCAAGGTCAAGGTGACCCCAACTCCTCAATCGAGGTCACGCTGGCCTCAGTTTGAGGGGGGAGAATGTCACCAGTGGGGTCACGGTGGTCCCCACCTCCTTAGCCAAGGCCACCTGCGGGATCAAGAGCCCTCCGCATCAAGGCGAGATGTCACCTGAGGAGTCACAGGTCACCAGCAGGGTCAAGGTAGCCCCGTGTTGAGGTGAGATGTCACCGGTGTGATCAAGGTGGAGAAGCCCCCGCAGTGCCCACCCCCCCCCACCTCTCGGTGCTCACATCAGCGGGGGCGAAGGCGCAGTGGTCGCCCAGCTCCTGGGCCAGCTGGCCCCCGTTGGACGTGGGCAGGTCCAGCAGCACCACGCGAGCCCCGTGCTGCACCAGCCGCTCCACCGTGGCCCGGCCCAGCCCGGAGCCACCGCCGGTCACCAGCGCCACCAGGCCCTGGGAGAGGGGGGACAGAGAGAGGGGTCAGCGGGGACGGGGAGGGGGGGACACACCCGCACACATCCCCGGGGGATGCGGGGTCCGGGGTGGGGAGCAGGGGGGGGGTCCCGGTACCTTCACGCTGCGAATCGCCGCCATCGCCGCCGCTCGGCCAATGCCCGTGGGGGGCGGCACCGGGGAGGGGCGGGGAGGACCTGGGGACACCGGGGGAGGGACAAGGGAGGAGCGGGGAGGAACGGGGAAGGACAAGGGAGGATCGGGGAAGGACCGAGGAGGGAGCGGGGAGGGACCAGGGTGGAGCGGGGAGGAGCAGGGGACACCGGGGGAGGGACCGGGGAGGGACAGGGAGGGACTTGGGAGGGACAGGGGAGGAGCGGGAGGGACCGGGGAGGGAGCGAGGGAGGACCTGGGGACACCGGGGGAGGGAGCGGGGAGGGACCAGGGTGGAGCGGGGAGGAGCAGGGGACACCGGGGGAGGGACAAGGGAGGAACGGGGAGGAACCAGAGACGGACCGGGGAGGGACAGGGAGGGACTTGGGAGGGACCGGGAGGGACAGGAGGGACCGGGGAGGGAGCGAGGGAGGACCTGGGAACACCGTGGGAGGGACCAGGGGGACACCGGGGAATGACCGGGGGTTGGGCCAAAGGAGGGTTCGGGGGTGGGACCGGGGGAGAACCTGGGGGGACACCGCGGGCTGGACCGAGGGAGGGACGGGGGACACGAGTGGGGAATCCCGGGGGGAGGGGAACGGGACAAGGGGGTTCCCCAGGGAGCTCCCCCCGGCCCGGGGGGTGAGGGGTCGTCCGGAGGGGTCCCATAGGGGGGTCCCCGATCCCCCTTTTCCTCCTCATCCCCGGCACTGAGGACCCCAAGAGGCGGAAATTGAGACCCCCCAAAGGGACAGGATTGAGACATTCAAGGGGAAGGGGGATTCAAGGGGAAAGGGGCCAGGACCCCAAAAAAAGGGGATGGGGTCCCCTGAGGAGAC